GTTGTGTGCTTCCCTCTGCTGTCACTTCCTCTAGTTTTTTGCCATCTGTTTCCTCCCGTCTCTGTCTTCAGAAAAAAAAACATGATAAAAGGGAGAAGTAGAATAGGAGGATCCTACACTTCCATTCAAAATACTCTTCCACCAGTGAAGCTTTCATGTTCCTTAGAAAAATAAGAAAATGCAGCTTTCAAGATAAATCACACTATTATTATTATTATGGGGGGAAAAGGAAAAGTTCAAATTTATAGAAGAACAAAAATAAATGAATAAATAAAAACCAAACAATTTTAAAAGTCATATATCCCAGTTTTAAATTTGCCTAGAAAAGAGGATTACCTGCAAAACTTTGCTCAACCTAAGTATAGATCAACTTTTAAAAAATATATTTGATATTATAGATTTTACTATATTATATATTATAGATATTACTATTAGATAGGCTATTGATGTCTGAATGAGAGCATGCTGAATGCATATGTGGCTATGATGTAATCCTACAGGTATATACATACTACAGTATATATTGCTGCATTGTAAATCAAATGGAGAGGGAAACTAGGAATATAGACTATAGCATGGGATAACAAAATGAAACATCACACAATGGATACGCAAGCTGTGAGGTGCTGCAAATATGGCAATAGAAAGAATACCTGTTCTGTTTACTAACTACAGAAAACATGTTAGCTATGCCATTAAACTGTCATTAGTCCTTCACATAAGTGCAACCATATGATTTACCTGACCATTTGCTTTTTTTCTTCCAGCAAACATTCTTGGCAGTATTGCAAAGATGCATTAGCATAAAGAACCACTGCCATTTTTGGTGATTTTAACAGCTACGTTGTTTTCAAAGCTTGAGTAAGCAGAAAGTTTTCAAAGAAATAATGAAAAGAGGTATTTAGACCAGCAGTTAAAACAGTTAGAAGGGTCGTTCTTTGAATCATAGACATAAGAAAGCATCTCATCGAAAGACAGGCTAAAAATACAAAATTGTATTACATTAAAAAGATAAAAGAAGAGCTACCAACCATCTTTTGGAAATGGTGTTTTTCAATTGACATTTCTTAGTTGGGTATGGTGCTAATCATTATCATTAATTAATATTATTTTATGAAGAAAAAGCAATAACTGCGGAAATGGTACAAAAGCAGAGATCAAAAATTGGAATGCTTCTGCAACAGAGGAGCTCCACGGAGTCTTGCTAAAATCATTTACTAATATACACTTAAGATTGACAGACTACAGGAATATGGCTTTGGAATCATCAGAAAACAAAACATAGCTAACAATTGGAAGAATATTCCTAATTCATAAGATATAAAGAAAGTTGAAAACTGCAGACCTATAATCTATGTGCCAAAAATAACAGACATACGGACATAATTGCAAATTAAATTTACAGCTATTTGGAAAGAAACTATTTACTCCTTATAGAAAAAAAAGGGGGGGGCTGCAAAAATTTGAAAGGAATGAAGGACCAGTTATTGACTGGCAAATCTATTTTAAAGTTATTTTACAAAAAGAACAAATTTGTTTATCGTTTGGATATACTATTAAAAAAACATTTGATTCTGTTTCATGTAGCTGAATTGAGAAATATCTTGAAGTTTTTGGAATCAGCAGAAATTTTTGGTTTAAAATAATTTGGCTGGTTGCAATTATTTTTTTCCTGCATCCTAACTATCTGTTGGGAGTCTATAGCTGTCCTGCTTGGTTGCTGTACCAAACCAGACCATTACACAAGTACATATCACAGACTCAATAATTCCTCTGTAAAACTGTATCAACAGCTTCTGGGGCAATCTAAACTTCCTGAGTTGATGGAGAAAGAACGTTCACTGTTGTAGCTATTTCATGATAGTTTTAACATTAAATGTCCATTTCAAGTTCTGGGATATTAGAGAACCCAAAATGTGAAGGGCTCTACTGCAGATACTGTGCTGGTGAATATAGTAAGAAGTGGTGAAATAGAAAGAGTCCTCCTAAAATTCGCTGTTATTTCTACAGTTGCAAGTGTATTCAGTTCCAGATTGTTCTGGCTACACCACAGGGCCAGTTGTTCAACCTCCCATATATGTCATCATTACCATCTTGAATAACACCAATGATCGTTATATTGTCTGCAAACTTCAGAACTTTAACAGAGGGTTCCCTTCAGGTGCAGTCATTGGTATAGAAGGAAAAAAAGCAATGGACAAAGCATACAGCCCTGAGGGGCACTGGTACTCATTGCCTAGGTACTAGATGTACTGGTCCCTAGCTTCACCTGTTGCTACCTATATGTCAAAAAACTGATTATGCACCTAGAAGTATGAACAGGTGCAGTAAGCTGGATCAATTTAAAGTAGAGAATTTCTGGAATGATGGATTGAACACTGTGCTGAAGTCCACAAAAAGGACCCATGCTTAAGTCCCCAAATTCAAGATGTTGTAGAACATAATGTAATGACATATTGATAGCATCATCTGCCAACCTATTTGCTAGATGAGCAAACTGCAAAGGGTCTTTCAGCAGATCTGTGATGACTTTCAGATGGGCCAGCACTAACCTCTCAAAGGTCTTCATAACTACAAATGTAGGAGCAACTGGTCTGTAGTCATTCTGCTCCCTGAAATGAATCCTAGGAACCAGGATGATGGTAGACCATTTAAAGCAAGAAGGCATATAACTTATCTCCAGTGATTTATTAAAAATCTGAGTGAAGATACAGGCCAGATGTTCAGCACAGGCTTTCAAGCAAGAAGGTATCACTCCGTCAGCCTGGAGTTTTTCTTGTCTTTTGCCTATAAAATAGCCTTCACATTTTTTTCTAGGATTACCAGAGGTGCTGCAACATGTGGTGAAACATCTGCAGCTCTCTGACATGTTTGTCTCAGTGTACATGTTGGTGGTGGTGTTGGCCAACTGGTACATCACCATGTGCCACCTGATCAAAAAGGATGAAACAACTAACCATTTCATCAGTGGCTGAAGAATAATTTCATAAACTGACTACAAGGTGCATCATGACTGAGTTGTCAGAACTATTCATTGCAAACTTTGCCAGAGGTTTGGATTTGAATTGGTAAAAACTACTAGGACCATAAGTATGCAGGTTAGACAGTATATAGTTAGTTGGGGAATGAGAGCTGTCCCCTTAAGGGAATGCTTCATGGGAAATGTAGTTAATGCCTCTTGGGATATGTAGTTCATGTCACGTGGTCATATCTATAATCCTGATTGGTCATGTGACATGAACTACATCTCCTATATACTGTCTAACCAGCACAATAAGGTTTAGGGGGTTTGGGAAAATGAGTGGGTTAAGATCTTTTGGAATTTTAAGATCCAACAGACAGACATCTTGTTCATAACAGGCCTGATGTGACAGTTATTGAAAAGAAGGAAGTCTGATTCACTGATATTGCTATTCCAGATGATGCTAGGATTGAGGAAAAACAGTTGGAAAACAATTACACAATACTGGGACTTTATTTTATTTATTTTTATTTATTTATTTTGTCAAACAATTATTAGATAACAGGTATAAGTATAAACATGGTTATAAATACATGAAATAAGAAAAAAATTCTTACGAATTATTATTTCTTACGAATAAGAAAAAAAATAAACAATAGGACAGGGACGGTAGGCACGTTTTGGTATGCTTATGCACGCCCCCTACAGACCTCTTAGGAAAGGGGTAGGCGGGCGAGCTTTCTTTCCCCCCCCCCGCAAAATTTGGCCAGAAAATAAACCGTGATAAAAAAAACCGTGATAAAAAATAAATAATTTTTAATAAATAATTAATAATAAATAATAAAAACATCTCACTAACTTCATTTCCAAATAAATTTAATATGTTAACTATGTTTTCTATGGTTTTTTGGGATGATCAGGTATCGTTACTGTTATTTTATTTTATGTGCGGCCCAAACCATATTTTCATCTTCTAATGTGGCCCAGGGAAGGTGAAAGGTTGGACACCCCTGTTCTACGTTATGATATGAAAAGATTATACTGCACTCTACACATCGTTTATAGAAAACCGAATGAAATTAGGACCTCATAAATTGTTTTAGAAGAAAAGACAATGTTGTAAGAAACACAAACCCTCACTCCAACCACCATGAGCAGATGTCACCTCTAGGGATTTTTTTAAAAATTACTTTGTGGGGTAGCCAAGATGCTAAATTTGCTTGCAATTATTCCTAGTTGGAAGTATCTCAAGTGTTGTATTAACTTTCACATTAGTTATAAGATCTAGTAGTTGATAAGCACATTGCCTTTTGTCATCTTTTTGGGGAAAAGTTCCAGGCTCAGGCTGTGGAATCTCCGAAAGGGGTACCTGAAACAGGTGTTGCCATGTTGATATTGACTGGGCGACATGATCAATACTGTGATGCATGGACCAAGGAACTAGTAGTGAAACAACTCCCCGTGTCCCTCTGTTCACACTTTGTATACCAAATCCACCGATTAGTGGGCTTCGATGTAGGCGTCCAGGCACAGTGCTAAGCGACTAGGAAACGCAGATCGATTTTGGGGAAGATTCCCGACGGCACAGTGGGGAGAGAGCTTTGTTTGAGAGAACCAGAGAGGGGACTCTCATGTGAAAAGACTCGGCCGAGGGGGAAGCCACTCGGGAGAGAAGGAGGAGGAGGAGGAGTTAGATCGCATTCCAAGGGACCTTGGAAGAAAAGCAATCAAAGAGACGAAAAGCAGAAGAGCGCCCGGTCACGGTTTAAGCGCGGGGGTGAAGCCAGGAGCGAGTGGGATACAGGAGACAGGAAGGAAACCAGGCGTGGAGATAATCGCACGGGTTCATTCCAGGCGGAGAAGACTCAGGCTGTCTTCTTCTATTCTGCCGCCTACCTTTACCTGGTCTGGAACCGAAGTTCAAGAGCAGCACTTGAAAAGAGACGCACCGATTTTCGCCAGGCGCGAAGAAGATCCCGCGCCTGAAAAGTAAAGGCGGGAAAGCGCACCGAGAGAACTCAAAAAGCAAAGCGACGCCATGCCGTCCAGCAACCGCTCCGGCGGCTCAGCTTGGACGACGCCTGCGTGGAACTGGAGCCGGGACCCGCTCGGGAAGGTAGAAGGCTCCAGGGGCAGCGTGGAGACGGCGTGGCCAGGGAACAAAACCAACGGAAGCAGAGACCCCTACGGACGGGACGAAGAGCTAGCCAAGCTGGAAATCGCCGTGCTGGCTCTGACCTTCGCCTTAGCTGTGCTGGGCAACTTTTTCGTGCTACTAGCGCTGCACCACACGCCGCGCAAAAAGGCATCCCGCATGCATCTTTTCATCCGGCATCTGAGCTTGGCCGACCTGGCGGTAGCTTTCTTCCAAATCTTGCCCCAACTTTGCTGGGAAGTCACGCACCGCTTCCACGGGCCCGACGGACTCTGCCGCGTGGTGAAACACCTGCAGGTCTTCGGCATGTTCGCCTCGGCCTACATGTTGGTGGTGATGACGGCCGACCGGTACATCGCCGTGTGCCACCCGCTCAAGAGGCTGCAGCAGCCGAGCAAGCGCTCGCACTGCATGATCGCGGCCGCCTGGGCGCTCAGCTTCTTGCTCAGCGCGCCCCAGTACTTCATCTTCTCCCTCAGCGAAGTGGAGAGCGGCTCGCAGGTCTATGACTGCTGGGCGCAGTTCATCAAGCCGTGGGGGGCTCGCGCCTACATCAGTTGGATAACCGGCAGTATCTTCGTGGCGCCCGTCCTCATCCTGGTCACCTGCTACGGCTTCATCTGTTACCACATCTGGAGCAACGTCCGGGAGAAGACGCGGCGGCAGAAGACCGAGAAGGCTCCGCCACACGAAGGCGCCCTGCGCAAGGGGCTGCTCTTCACGCCTCATGTCAGCAGCGTCAAAAGCATCTCCCGCGCCAAAATCCGCACCATCAAGATGACCTTCGTGATCATTTCGGCTTATATTGTGTGTTGGGCCCCTTTCTTCTCTGTACAGATGCGTTCCGTCTGGGACGACCACGCTTCCTGGCAGGGTAGGTGCTGTGCTCTGATCAGCTCCTGATCCTGCCTATACATGTTAGATAAGTTTATATATATGTCTCTTACTATTCAACTGCTTTTTTGAACTAGCTAGCCTATGTACTGTTTCATGATTTTTCTCCATTCCTCGAAGGATTTCATCCTAGGAGGCTTTTTCATCCCAGTCCTCAGCCCAAATGAATATTATTGCAAAAGGTCACCTTGCAGTATTTTATTCAGCAGGTTCATTCGGGAGCTGGGTAGAAAAAAAAAAGACAAATGTTCCAGCATTTCACTGGTAGCCTCCTTTTTAAAAAAACAAACAAACTGCTCAATTGAAAAGGGAGTATCTCAGAAAAAGAGAATTAGTAATTTTAAAGGCCAGGTTTTGAGCCATTAATCTTCAGCACATTTTTTTGCCCTGCCATACCATGCAACAGAAGCCTAGGTCAGAGTTTAACAGGGCAGCAAACATTTACTCAGTTGAGGTGATTTTGCTGTTTCTTTGCTCAACAGCTAATCAATCTGCCTAGGAAAAGTAAAGTGAATCCGAGAGTTTAACAGGGCAGCAAACATTTACTCAGTTGAGGTGATGTTGCTGTTTCTTTGCTCAACAGCATCAATCTGCCTAGGAAAAGTAAAGTGAATCCGGCAAACCAGACAGCAATGGTTAAGCTAGAAAACAAACAAAATAAGCTTGCCAGGGCTCAAGGTGAGTAATTTATGGTTTCTCAACAGGGCAGCCCTGTAGTGTGGATTCCAAGCCTACATTCCACTTACACCAATTTTTTTTTAAAGCAGAATGCTGTCCTGAATGTATATAATTTTTTTGTGCCTCTCATTTATTACTCTCATTTATTTCAGTGATTGGAAACAGTATTCAGTCTTACCATGTTTGCATTTCAAGAGGACTTACTAAACATATTGCTTTTTAAGTATATATTTTGAGACTTTCTTTGAAGAAGTGTTCTGAAAGTCACATACATCTAAAGAGGCTCATTTAATATCCCATCTTAATAGTCATTCAACTGAATCCTGACTAAATAGGGATGCACCATAACTTTCCAAGTCTTACATTTACTGTGGTTCACTTAGAAATAAATAGATTGGCTCAAGGAACCCAAATATTACCAAATTAAAGCCCAGTACCAGACTAAAAGTGACAAAACTTTCAGGATTCTGATAATTTTATGCACATTTCCATATGTATTTCGGGTGGTCTTTATGAATAAAGGGTGCTAGGGTTGCAGCCTAAAATTTAAATGCTGTGCATCAGTACATATGTTTGCAACCTTGTTCAGAGTTTTTGGAAGATATTGGAGATTACCTTGCACATGTCAACAAGCTTAAATATCAGTGTCATGGGATTTTATATTAGAATGTTCCAAAAGAAGAGAATATGTGTAGCTCAAGTTTGAATTATGTTGTTTTTGATGCTCTCTAAGCTTGGTTATATGCATTATCTAACTAAGTAATATTTGCTAGTGACCATGGGGGGTTATTTGCTTGAGGGTGTTTCATTAACCAGATAGATAGTAACATCATCAGTGCAAGTGAGTGTGGGCTGTTCAGCAAAAGACAATACCCTAATCAAGGAATCACCAAGGAGAAAAATACACCTCACCAACACTGGCAGAGCAAAATACTGTATATAAACAGGGAGCAAACCCTCTACTTACTTGCACTGAGTTTAAGCTATTTTGCATTGAGTTTAAACCACCAAAGTTTAAACATTAAAAATATTGTTTTATATATTTCTTTGCTATATATTTTTGAGGAAGACACAGTAACTTGTGTAGATTTTAAAGGAGGAATATATATATAAAACTTAAGAAAACTTATATATATATATATATATTTCCCACGTCATTATAGTTGTGCTTTTAAAGTTGTAGCAATGTTTCAGCAGAATCTTATCTGCCATCATCAGGCTTCTGTATTGAGTTTGTCTGTGAGTCAGACTTTACAGTTGTTTCAGTTTTAAATTTGGGGCTAGCCTACTGCTGTGCCAGAATGGATTTTTCTTCATCCTGATTGGTTGGGAGTCTTGGTCTGTGTTTATTGGTCTTGGAGTTTGCTGTGTTCTGCTTGATTGGTGTTTCTAATATCTTCTGTCTGTTTTGTGGCTTTTTTTGTCTTGATTGACTGGCAACATTGTGTTCCTGTATTGGAGGCGTTTAGTGCAGCTTGGCTCCGAGTAAATGGACAGCTATCATTTATTAGGAAGCTAGGTTTCATCTGGGTGCCTGGTTGGGGTGTGTTTGAGCTGGAGGTATCAGGGGGGATTTATTTGTGCCCAGGTGTTTGCCTGGCTTGTGTTGTGGAGATTTTTTTGTTTGTGAGTGCAGGCTTCCAAATAATTGACAGTCTGGTGGAATCATCTCTTCTATTCATGCTTTCAGGTCTTTTTTCAATCTCTATGGCTTTTCAGATAATTCTGTGGCTGGGGTTTTCTATAGTGGCTAGGGTTTTGGTGCCATTGAAGTTGATGCTATGACCCGTGGCTTTCATGTGTTGGACTAGTGAGGAAGTGTGTTCCAGCTTTTTTACTGCATTTTTGTGTTCATCCAGGCAGGTACTTATTCTTCTATTGGTCTGTCCAATGTATGTGGCAGGGCATGATGCACAGGAGACTTCATATATGCCTTGGTTTTCCAGGTCAATTTTATCTTTGGGGTTTCTTAGGATGGCTGCTATTTTTCTGTCTGTTTTGAAGGCAGTCTTGATGTGATGCTTTTGTAGTATCTTACTGATTTTGTCAATAGTACCTCTTATGTAGAGGTACTTCTGCTGAAACGATTCTGCTGAAATGTTGCTACAACTTTAAAAGCACAACTATAATGACGTGGGAAAATATCCAAACAAAGCTGAAGCCTACACATTACCTGGTAGGATGATACTCCTGTGCAAATTAATTGAGACTAGACTGTTGAATTCACTGGTGTCTATTTTTGGCTACATAGAGTCAACTTGTAAAACACTGAAAATTTAACAAGTGATCACAATCAGCCAGCTGAATGCAATTTTTGTATTTAATGATATGTGCTGCCCTTTAAGTTGATGACATAAAATAGTTTCTCCAACAAAATTAATGAAAAAATATCCAGTATCTGCACGATCATTTTCCTCTTCATTGTTTTGTTCTAATCTCCCACAAAAAACAGCAAAACTGGAAAGTTCATTATCATCTCATTGGCTTACCAGAATATGAGGAATTCAACCATAAATGCCATTCTCACAATTTCTGCTCTAAAAAAAGACTTCAACTTCTCTATCTTGCATTTCCACTTAAATTTACAGTAAAAGATGCCACAAGGAATATTTACTTTCTACATGAACATACCAATACTGTTTGTTACTATAAGCAATATTGAACAGTATACCAATTTTACAATCTGAATTATTCTGTTCTAGCAGAAATTCAAATGATTCTTTAATATCAAGGTTATGGATAGCCATTTGTTATTTGTAGTGGTATACAATATCATGTTTATTTTAGCTAGTTTGTCCCAAATTTTGCCCATGGTTAGCTGACCTGCACATTAACTGAATAATGGAGTCTTTTTTATTTTTTTTTAAAAAATGGCAGTCTTTTATTTTTAAAGAAAGTTCCTATCCTCTAAGCAAGCTTGACACCAGAATATTTAATATTAGCAATAGAACAGTTCTCTGGGAGCTCTCTGAGTTGCATAGAAGATGGAAATTGTGGCTGCTTCCTTCTTCTCAGCAGTATATTGTTTTTGGTAGTCACCTTGGTCATCTTCATAGTAGGCCTGATATTTTCTGTAAATTTGTTTTAAGATGATCTCTGTGTGTTATAAAAGTGAAATGTACTATATCTATGAACAAGCCACAAAGAATAGAATAGAAATAACATAACATAACAGAGTTGGAAGGGACCTTGGAGGTCTTCAAGTCCCAACATCCTGCTTAGGCAGGAAACCCCCTACCATTTCAGACAAATGGTTGTCTAATCTCTTCTTAAAAATTTCCAGTGTTGGAGCATTCACAACTTCTGAAAGCAAGTTGTTCCACTGATTAATTGTTCTAACTGTCAGGAAATTTCTCCTTAGTTCTAAGTCGCTTCTCTCCTTGATTAGTTTCCATCCATTGCTTCTTGTACCCTCAGGTGCTTTGGAAAATAGATTGACCCCTTCTTTGTGGCAAACCCTGAGATATTGGAACACTGCTATCATGTCATCCCAGTCCTTTTCATTAAACTAGATATACTCAATTCCAGCAACCGTTCTTTATATATTTTAGCCTCCAATCTCCTAATCATCTTTGTTGCTCTTCTCTGCATTCTTTCTAGAGTCTCAACATCTTTTGTAAGTATTCCAAATGTGGCTAGATATAATAAATGACAGAGTTCTAGAACTTTTGTGAAGTCGAGTTATAATTGTAAACCAAAGTAACCTGCTCCTAAACCATAACTAAAATAAAAGTATAGTGAAAGGAACAAAAGGTAAGTAAGACAAAAACAGAATGTGTGAATTTGTTGTGATGGACAACACATTCAATATGGTCCAGAAGCTTATTTTATTTATTTGATTTGTTTATTGAATTTATATGGCCACCTAAAAAAGCAACTCTGGGCAGGCAACAGAATAAGAATCATATTCCTGGGAGGAGAAAAGAGAAGGCTTTCAGGGATGGCCCCAGCCTGATTTTGGGTGGAATTGTGACCCAAAGGCCAAATGCTGCAACAAAGAAGCCATTCCTGGTCCTTCCAAATGACTGCCTTGATTCAGCAGGACCCAAAATGTCCATTTCCTGCCAGAACTGATGGAGCAAGTTGCTTCAGAGAGACACTTCCTCTAATATCCCAGCTTAAAACCACAAATTGCAGCCAGAAACTTAACATGGGCATATTGAGGTTATTTGGGCAACTTTACTGAATACCTGTTTACCTTTGAAAATGTAATGCAGAATTATAATCTTACTAAATTTAATGCAGGTTTTTCTTAGATCTTGCTTTAAAAGAAATATTAGCATACTAAATTGTAGGTCTTTGCTAAATAATGTTCTACTTTTTCTCAACAGATTCAGAGGATGTTGCAGTTACAGTGACTGCCCTTTTGGCCTGCTTGAACAGTTGTTGCAATCCATGGATCTACATGTTTTTCAGTGGGCATCTCCTACAAGACTTCATGCAGAGTTTCTTGTGTTGTCGAAAAATCAAACAAAGATTGAATAAAGAAGATACTGAGAGCATTAGCAGGAGACAGACTTCTTTCACTAATAATATAAGTCCAACAAACAGTTTGGATACATGGAGAGAATCATCAAATTTATCATAATTTATTAACAATTTCAATTTCTTTCTAGACCCTTGATAAAATACTGATGTCTCTTTGAGTGCCAAAACAGCATTTTAACTACCAGGTATCATGCGGTCAATAAAGTAATTGATTGGCAAAAAAGTTACCATTTTATGTTAATGAAAGCTACAAATTAATATGTAAAAAGATATATGAACATGTAGTCAATGATATTGATAGAAAAATCAGATAACATGCAATATTTTTCCAGACACAATTATAGACCTTGGCATTAATCCTTGGTGAGGTACAGTATTCTATGACGTAATGGCTACTACTCTGTAAAAATATTTGCTGAGTCCCCTCAGACGTCTTGCTAAGGAACATCCTATTCTTTCAAAAAATAACTACAGTACTTATCTCTATGATCAACCATTTATAGGTAATCCTTGACTTAGAACTGCATTTGAGCCCAAAAATTCTGTTGCTAAGGGAGACAGTTAAGTAAATTTTGCCAACTTTTAATGACCTTTTTTGCCACATTTGTTAAATGAATCACAACAATTGTTACATTAGTAACGGTTATTAAGTGAATGTAGCTTCCCCATTGATTTTGCTTTCAGAAAGTTGCAAAAGGTGAATCACATGATCCTGGAACATTGTCATAATCATCATAAATATGAGTCAGTTGTCATTTTGATCACACAACTATGGGGATGCTGCAACAATTGTGCGAAAAACTGTCATAAGTCACTTTTTTTGATGCAGTTGTCACAGTCACTAAATGAACTGTTGCAAGTCAAGGACTACCTGTATCAAAATCCTATTGGAAACATAATGAATTGGCCTGATCTAAAGCTATGTAGATGACAACTGTGGAACATCCAACCAATATTGATTTTTCAACTGAGTAAAATATATTCTGAGAAACAGAAAAAACAATATAAAGTACTGGATTCTTTAAGGGAATCCATTGAATGTTTATATCATTTGTAATACAGTATGTAAGAAATTGCTTGCTGGTGACTATTTTTATATTTAAGTAGATGCATATATTTATAACAGGGCTTTATCAACTCAAAAATTTCAGAAAAAAATCATTGTTATTCTGACAGCAAAAGAATAAAATTTTTGCTTCATCAATCTTAATTTAGAATTTAGAAGGCTGGCCAGTGATACATTGAGAAGTTTACTTTTTTTATTGGCATCGGCTGACATCCGTGGCTCGTTTGATTGAACTGGCACTAGTCAAGAAACCTCACATCATTAGCACATATAAGTCCATTCCTATAACAAATGAGGTCCATACATCGATTCCAGTTCAGGTGGTGGTACAATTCTTTGTGCTTGAGACTGGAAGGCAGGTTACAGTTTTGGAGGACCAAATTAAAAAAAAGATGTGTTAGGTTAAGAGGCCTCTAGAAGCAGGTAGTTCTTTCATATTTCTTTGTATATTTTTTAGAATAGAACACACTGTTTCATTAGTGGCTCTGTTGAAACTTGGATCATTAGCATCATATGATTGGAAAAGAAATACACTATTGTACCATAGTTAATTTTTAAAATGACAGGCTGTCACTTTATTTTTTTTTTATTGGTTCTCATTACATCTCTGTGGCACATATAAGTAGAAAAGCAGCACAATTTGCTTTTTCAACAACAATATTCTGGTGACTTTTATTTAGATAGTAGAACACAAACAATATTATCAGGCCAAGTAACTAAAGTGACAGAAGGGGAAGAGAAAAGAGCTTTTCCAAATAGTTTTAATGCAAAATTAAATATGTAAGTGACATTTATGACATTTTCCCTAGACTACCAGTTACTTTGCAATGTGGCATAATTATCCTGGCTTTCTCATTTTACTAGTTAAAAGTACTTAAATGCCTACCAAAAGGGCATATTAAGTTTTCTCAAATTTATTATATGCCCAATAGACTTTCATATAAACTTAGATGCAACAACTGGCAATACTGTTTATCTCTTCAGTCTTTTTTAACCTGTTAATTTTTTCTTGTCCTTAATGAATCCCATTAAAATTTGGACTCTTTTTAGCAACGAGTTAATAAGCCTTAATCCCAAAGGTGCTTTTTCAAGAGGCAACTGGACGTTCTGATTTTCCTTTGAAGACATTTCAGCCAGAGCTGAAAAAGCTTCTTGGATTAGAAGCAAAACGTCTTCAAAGAAAAACAAGAAAATCCAGCTGCCTCTTGAAAAAAGCACCTTTGGGACAACCATGACCTGGATGACTGAAAATAAGTCATCGGACGATAGACAACTTAATGTTGTATTCACTTTACACATTACATTTTAAGCTTGTGATATCCATTTTTCAACTTAGGTTAAAGTTAATTAAACTGAAAATGTATCCTGAAGAAAATTGTTCACATATTTTTAAGTTCATACTTTTAAAACTATAATGTTTGTTTGCATAGATATATGGTATATTTTTTTTCTTCCATTCAGTTTTATCCTATTCTTGGAAATTGCCTGGATGCTTCGCTGAAGTTTTCTTGAAAAGGTTTTTCAGAAATGGTTTAGCATTGCCTCTTTCCAATGGCTGAGAGAATGTGACTCTTAAGTCACATTGTGCCTAAGGTGGATTAGAACTCCTGGTTTCTAGCCTGATGCCTTTTAACCACCACCCCAAACTGTTTCTCACATACAGGATATATGTGTGAATTAAATAAATCATGTTCAATAGATACATTTCATTAATTATTCAATTCAGCATTGAAATGCCAACATTCTCTAGCTTTTTGACTGTTAACCTTATATGTTAGTATCATGTATATACTGTTTAAAGTACTAAAATAATTTTCCAATGAGGCTTTAATTGAAATCTATAACTGGGATTATGGCTATTTATGTATGTTGGTGGAAATTGATTATTGCCTGCTATTAAAAATATGCCAACATTTCCAGGCTTAAAGCTTGCTGTTATAAATATTCTAAGTTTAAAGCACAACACCTAGGGTTCTGAAGTTCTGCTTCAATCTCCTAACAAATGGGGCCTTTGATTTCACTTTGTTTCCAATATTGCAGTATCCTGCAATTGTGTTTGTCCTTTTTTAATTCTTAAAACAGAGACTTGGAGAATGCATTAAAAATGAAGTAGGCACAGGTTCTATTCCTCTGCTCTTAACTGCATCTTATATAGAGAGAAGAATTAAGAGAGTATATGTAAATGTTTAGACATTTAAAAGAAACATTTTGGACATTAATTAAAACTTCTGTTTTCCCAGTAGGTAAGTTTACTGCTATTGGGATATTAGAATTCATGGTTACAATGTAGCATTCCTATCTCCTTTTCTCCTCTCCTTCCTTTTTGCAAATTTTTTCAGAGACTGCCCAATCTACAAATATATATTGAATACTTTTGTATGTTAAAACAATAACTTTGTTGTTGAGGTTGCAAGTTGTTAAATGCCAACCCTGTATGTTCATTGATCATTTGTTGAGTTTTACAGACAGACTTCCACATCCAAAAGCATGCACTGTATATATGCAGTAGAAAGAAACTTCAAACCACTTACTGTACTTTTTCTGCTTATTGTAGGTAGTCCTCAAATTACGATCTCAATTAAGCCCAAAATTTCTGTTGCTAAGTGAGACATTTGTTAAGTGGGTTTTGCCCCATTTTACGATCTTCCTTATCACAGTTGTTAAGTGAATCGCTGTAGTTGTTAAGTTAGCAACACAGTTGTTAAGTGAATCTGGCATTGTTTCTCAGAACGGTATAAAAGGAGATCACAAACATCATAAATGTGAGTTAGTTGCCAGGCATCTGAATTTTGATCATATGACCACAGGGATGTTGTAATGGTCGTAAGTGTGTAAAACAGTAGTAAATCACCTTTTTTAGTGCCATAACTTTGAACGGTCACTGAATGAACTATTGTAAGTTGAGGACTACATCTGCTTTGTTCCAGTTTGTGTTAAATGAATTTATTTCCTGCTATTTGACCCTGCTGAAAGCTTTTTGGTTGTTTGATGCAGATACTGATTGCAAAACTGCTTTACTGTTACTTCTGTTGTTTACTATGATCATTTTAAACAAAAATAAAATAAAAAACATTATTGGTCAATTTTTCTACAAGTTAAGTAGAAAATACGTAGCATGCAGCATGGATTTTATCCCTACTTAGTTTTGTGTCCTTTTAGAGTGAATGGTTGATTGACAAAAAAAACAACCTCCTTTGAAATTACATTGTACATACGGTGCCTGTTATCAACTTTGTTCTGTTAGAATCTAGGTCAGGGGTCCCCGACACCTAGGCCACAGCCCACTACCGAGCCATGGCCTATTTGGAAGTAGACTGTGAGTGGTGGGTTGGTGCACACGCATTCAAGAGCAGCTTGACTTGCACGAGTGGTGGGCTGGTGTGTGCATATGTGTGCACAGTTCAACTTGTGCAACTCAAACGGTATTTGCATGTGCATGCGCACTGGCCCGCCCTTGTGCAAGTCAAACTGCACACATGTGCACGTGCATGCTGGCCTGCCACTGGCTCGGCTCCCTTCCCCCCCCCCCCCCCCAGCTGGGCTGCCAAGACACAAAGATTGGGAACTGCTGATCTAGGTCACTTGAAACATTTAAAAGTTTTTCTGAGCTTGAAAAACTTGGACACTTTAAATTTGCCCACAATGTACATTATCATTTCTGTTATATTAGTCAATAAGCATATTTCATGAAAACTGAATTTTAAAACTCAATAATTCTTAATTAGTTTTTAATAACTTATAACCTATTATTTATAACCTACCGTGAAAGAAAAGACAAATCCAGATGGAATACCATTTTGCCTTTTAAAGCAAAAAACAAAAGTGTAGTCCCTACCCAGAACAACTTTAATTACAAATTCACAGTAATTCTTCATTTATTTTTAAGAACATTTCTATTTCGTTGTCACAGCCAGAATAGAACTGAAGAGTAAAGCCTCCCCAGGGATCAACAAACATAACTTCACATTAAAAGTGACCTTACATCTTAATATTGCACTGCAGGCATTTTTTCACTGCAAATTTTATTTTCATGA